GAAGAGGAATTAAAAGTTTTGTGATGAACGGTGGCCGTTAATAATTAAGTATAACTCAAGACTTCAATTTTAAGATAAAATAGTATTTAATTACAACCGCAAATAAATACTTAACATGAACAAAGAAGTAAAATTCAACCAAAGATAATTAACCATTTCAGTAAATACCTTGTTAGTAGCGCGGCTCGGCTTAACGTCCGATAAATCATAAATCAAAACCCAAATCATCGAAAGCACAATAATTCACACTAATTCGACTGGATAGTTCCACTCAATAATCACCCCAGTCAGTAGCCTGACACCGTTATTTATACACCTGGCGGAAAACGTATATTCATAAACCCAGGGTATCACGCTCGAACCTAGGTGTCGGTAGTTATTCATTTTCTTCCTATATGGAAAAAAAAAAAAAGTAAATAACGACTGAGATTGCATTTAAATCTTTGAAGATCAACATTAACAGGGAAGTAAGAAGCCGGAAGAGTGCTTCACAAGCGAGAAGTGCGATAGAAGAAACTGTTAGCATAGAAACGGTTATATCTAGCCATTTCAATTGTAAATTGATGAGACCTAGTTGCCAATCTAGTACTGCGCTTACATTCACAAAGTCTAAGTACCATAGAGGAAAGTAATATTTATTTTGAAAAATACAAAAATATGGCACAATGCCAAAAGAGGGATAAGGGAAGGCTTGTATTCAGTCTTTCTTATCTTAAACTAGCTAGCCATGATTACTGACCTAAATATAACACAATATTCTTTACACCAAAACAACAAATTCTTACTACAGCCACCATAATACCTCAAGTCTCTATGTAGTACCAGCTAGTTCCCATATGTACAATTTGTCTGTTTGGGGGTGAGGAATAAAAATAACAACATTTAAAAATGAAACCCCAATGAATATTTACAATGTACCATAGATTAAATTTCAACAGAAAGCATTTATAGAAAAGACATAGGGAAGATACATTACGGCGGTGGGAAAGTGACTGAAGCCGAGATGCCAGGTCAGAACCAGTAACATTGCAGATTCTTCTTTGTATTTTATCGAAAATCTCTAAATACATAGAAGGAACACTAGACCATATGTGGCGACAATATTCAAAGCATGGGTAAATGGCAGGCTTATATATGGTATCAAAAGACAATTGGAAAAAATCTTACATTTTGCCAACGTGTTTTGTCTTTCGTCTTTTTCAAGGCAAAAATGAAATCGAAAGGTTTTTGTTGTTATAGTTACATTAAAAATCCAAATTTAAAAAGATACACGCTTGTGTCTAAGCCTTTTTTTCTGGTTAATGTAAATTACCTTTATAGTAAGGGATTTTTTTTTCCATGTCGACAATATAGTTAAATTCCCAGATGAATTCTGTGGACAAGACAGATTGGTATCAAATGACAATTGATACCAATCTGTGTTATCCACAGAATTCATCTAAATTTAATATATATATATATATATATATATATATATATATATATATATATATAAATCAATTAATATTTTATATCAATTAATATTTTTTTTTTAAATCAATTTATATATATATATATATTTTTTTTTTAAATCAATTTATATATATATATATATATATATATATATATAGGAACAGGTAGGATAAAAAATCTACATGCACGTACTTTATATATAGTTTCATAAATATATTTCTTCTTCGAATGTTATTATATAGTGGTAAATGTTGTGAAACAGTTCTTGCAATCTTCAGGTCCAAATATTTTGCACCTGAAGATTGCAAAACTTTCATGAAACCCGTGTCGTGCTATCAACCATTTGGATATTATATATATATATATATATATATATATATATATATATATATATATATATATATATATATATATATATGAATAATTGTTGCAACTCTTCTGTTTTTCATAGATAGATAGATGTACATGATTTGTGCAATGCCAATAAGTTGACCAAGCTATTCACAGAAATACTTATTTGTTGAAACCTTAGAAAACTGAAGAGACAAGAATTGGCAGGAGTTTTCACTTGTACGTTTTCCTGTCTGCTGCTAAACAGTAAAAGCAATCAATTTAAATGTTTTACAATTCTTCAGGAAAAAAAAATATACCAAAGGCGATGAAGAATAGAAGAAAAGTAAAGAAACTCGAGAGGGAGAAAAGAAAGAATGAAAGTTAAAAAAAAAAAAAAGAAAGAAAATAAAAGAAAGAAAAATAGAAAAAAAAAGAAAGTAAATTGCAATATCAAATCTTTAGCAAGTTTTGTTCAATAACAGCCGAAAGGTTCTTGAAATTACGTTTAGTGTAAACAAAACAGTAAGAAAAATGGAAATCAATGGCGCATAAGCACATTTTTAAAAGTTGTAGAATTCAGAGATAATAATTCAAAAAAAAAGATGACGATGATGTTAATGATGATTATTATTTTTATTGATGATAATAATAATAATAATAATAATTATTATTATTATTCCACACAGCGTATGATGTTGGTTGTCTTATGTCTTTGTGGCGTTATCGCCTTTATTGGGATGAACTGATTAAAAAAAGAAGATAATTCAGGGATAGCGGTCCACAACCACCAACCTTTGGTATGGTTCAGTTTTCCTCTGACTAAGTGTGCAACACTATCCAGGTTATTCTTGCTGTTTTTAAGAGGCTTCATTTCTACGACAGTTCCACTTGGCAGTCAATGACTGTTCTCTTGATCCACGTCTCCATTCTCTCAATCACAATATACAATATATATTGTATATATGATAATATATTGTATATATATTGTATATATGATAATATATTGTATATATATATATATATATATATTGCCATATATACAATATATATACAATATATTATCATATATATAATATATACCCCAATGACAAGTGATATGATTGTGATCCTCTTCAACTTCCAATGTCTTGCGAGTTCAAACTTCAATAATGCGTTGTTGCTTACTTTCTTCTCTTCCTTTTGCTCTATCCTTGTATCGTTAATTGATTCGTTTTTTACGGTTTATCAACCCTTTACAGTTTATTTAAAAACAGAAATATTTTTTAGGTTGTAATATTTTTTTGTGGGGAGATAATAATGATTTAGTGATAAAAGTCTTCTTAATTAACCCATTGATGGTAGGAAAAACGTTGGGTTCAAACCTTTCTCAAGGGTATTTGCGCGTAAGTGAACATAATGAACCCAACTGGAACTGGAACTCTACTCTCCGATTAAAAATTCCTAGGCACGGTAGAGTAATGGATAGCGGCTTGGATTGAGGAATCAGAGAGCCGAGTTCGAATTCCAGTCAAATCCACTACATTCACTCACCTGCTAATACCCTTGGAAAAGGTATGAATCCTCTTCTTCTCCCCCCGCCCCAGATATGGGTAAATAGCAAGACAGACCAGGTTCTATAGCCTTGGATGGCAACGAGGATCTCTGATATTTTTTTTTTTTTTTTACTAGTAGTAATTCTAACCAGGTAGGCACGGTGCAGTAATGGATAGCAGCTTGGACTGAGGAATCAGAGAGCCGAGTTCGAATTCCAGTCAAATCCATTACATTCACTCACTTGGGAAAGGTATGAACCTTCTTCTTCTCCCCCCAGCTATTGGTCCACTCTGTTTTTTCAGTATGTCTTTAATAATTTCTGGTTTGCAAGCATTGGTCCTATGCAGCAAAAATAAAATCTTCAGTTTTAGCTTTTAATCCTGCACTACGTAACCTCTGATGGGTACGGGGGTTGTTTATATCATCTTGATTATTATTATTATTATTATTATTATTATTATTCCTTTGATTTCTGGTGTGTACTCATTTCTTTCCGGGTCCCGGCCAGAAACCTAAGGTCAGAAATGGCATCATGATATTTTCCACTGAGGAATTAAAAAAAAAAGGTAAATAAAACACACACACACACACTACATAAATAAAGCTCTTCGTAAGGCGTGGGCTAGACACGTGAAAGCAATTTTTTTGCATTTCTTTAAGACATGGCTTACCAGGAATCTCTTCAATGAGTCTACTGGAATCTTTTCCAATCAATTCGAGGGCTCCAACTACAATAAGGATTATTGATGTTTTCATATGCCACATGATTATTATTATTATTATTATTATTCGTAAATGAAGAAATGAAAAGAAGAGAAATATGTAGATAGGAAAAAGTTTATCGAAATATCGACTTAGTTGAACTGTGCATATTTCCCAGCAGACGTTTCACAGAAAATATTTTTTTCTAAATCATTTATTAATTTTCTGTATTTCTGCTTCAATTTCAGATACCAATTTTCCCCAGTGTGGAATCTTGCTCGTCGTTTTCTTATCATTGGTGACCGCCAATATAAAAATTAAGCCGAACAAAAGTCCGGCAGTGATGGCTGCAAGCGTAAGTCGGATTGTGCCATCTTCGTCCATATTGCGTCTTCTGATTATCTCTTCCGTCCTGCAGATATGCTCGTGCGTCGACCTCACCTATTACGTAGAAGAAGGCAAGAACCCTGGCACCTTCGTCGGGGACATTGCCGTTGATTCCCACTTACTGAATACTGTGCCTGCGCAGGATCGCAGCCTGATAAGGTTTTTACAACTGGAACAAAACACCACGGGAGCCTCGAAAATGTTTCGTGTGGCCAAAAAGACAGGGAAACTCTACACAACGCAAACGCTGGACGCAGAGACGCTGTGTACCTACAATACAGAATGTTTCCGCATGGTGGACGTTGCTGTCCGACAGGAGACGTCTTTTATTAAAATTCTCGAAATCAAAGTTGTGTTGAAGGATGTCAACGATCATCAGCCTGAGTTCAAAAACACTGAGGTCAGCCTCGAGTTTTCCGAGAATGACAGTAAAGGAATTCGAAAACTGATTCCCAACGCCGTCGATAGAGACATCGGAGTCCTTAATTCGCAAATCACTTACCAGCTGAAAAGAAATTTGAACGAGCCTTTCACGCTGTCCGTTGCTAAAAGCGTCGACGGCACGGCTGATTTGAGCATCACTTTGGAAGAAAGGCTGGACAGAGAACTGCAGGATTCTTACAGGCTACAAGTCATCGCTAAAGATGGTGGGGTACCACAGAAACAAAGCGTCCTGAATGTTCACATCTTCGTTGTGGATATTAACGATAACACGCCAATTTTTTCACAAAACATCTATAATATCTCTGCTAACAATGAACTCTTCGGAGCTATGCCAGTTGCTATTCTGTCGGCCACTGATTTGGATGCGGGTAAAAACGGGAAGGTTTCTTACCATTTCAGTTCTAAGACTTCAAGAACTGCTTTGGATCACTTCGATATAAATTCTGAAACCGGAGAAATATTTTTGCAAAAGAAATTTACTTCTCGACAGAAAATGACTTATAAGCTGTACGTGAAAGCGACTGACGGAGGTAGCCCGCCGCTGAGTTCAGTTACAATGGTGCAAGTAAATGTGATCAACCAGCAGAATAATGCCCCGACAATAGACGTGAATTTCGTGTCAGCATCCGACAAAAACACGGCGACTATTTCGGAAGACATCGAAGTCGGCAGTTTTATTGCCTACGTGAAAGTGACGGATGTCGACATGGGCCAAAATGGCGACGTCATCTGCGACCTGCATCACGACAAATTCCAGCTACGGAGCCTCGGACCCAAAAAGTACAAAGTTACAGTTAAAAATCCAGTCGATAGGGAATCCGACGACCACCACGACATCACTATCAACTGTCAGGATCGTGGCTCGCCACCTTTGCACTGTGAAAGCAGGTTTTCCATTCGCGTGACTGACGTCAATGACGCGAAACCTGAATTCTCGAAAGAGACCTTTAAATTCTGGACCAACGAAAACGAAAAACCAAAGCTACCTATCGGCTTTATCAATGCCACTGACCCAGACCTTGGGCTGGGGGGTAAACTAACCTACTCACTTTTGACTAACAGCAAGCATTTTCTGCCTTTCCAGATATCCGACGAGGGACTCATTTCGACAGTTGTGTCGCTAGATCGTGAATTTCAGGAAATCTATAAATTCCAAGTGTTTGTCAAAGACAACGGTACACCGGCGCTTAGCAACACGGTGAATGTTATTGTGGAGGTGAAAGACGTTAACGACAACGCCCCCTATTTTATCTTCCCTAATGTTAATCCGTTTACACTGGACGTACTCTACTACCCCCACTTGACCAACAACATCACGGTCCTGAAAGCTTCCGACAGCGACAGCCGGGAAAACGCATTCCTCAAATATGAGATCACCGCTGGCAATGACAAACTACTCTTTATGCTCAACCATTATTCAGGTTTCTTAACGTTTACGCGCGAAGTAACCCCACAGGACTCGGGACCGTACGAATTGGAATTCGTGGTTCGGGATAGCGGCACTCCGCCCCTCTCAGCCACCACGAGGCTGATATTAGTCCTAACAGTGAGTAATAAAACGTCGGAGATGATGAACGTCGTGCATATCCAGACAGGTAACAAGATACACTTAAATCTGGTAATCATCGTCACACTGACGGCTGTTGTTTTGTCGGTGGTCATTACGGCGTCTGTGTCGCTCTGCATCCTTCGATGCAACAACCAGCTGAACGTTCCTCATCGCGTCGGTGTGAATTCGTCTAAGAAATGCATCAATGAACAAAGACACCTGATGTGTCCATCGTATCTGCAAACCTCGTGGAACGACGTACCGTTGACTATTACCACGGATTCGGATCTAAGGAGCTCTCTTTCCTCAAAATCTCGAAGAGGTCAGCACTGTGGCGAGGAATTGACCGAAAAGGAAAAATGTGCCAGTTTAGGAGTAGGGACGAATCTACATTCATCTTCTGACGTCTTACACCAGGTGAGTAATATTATACTTATTTTACATATATGCATTGATATTACACACACACACACACACACACACACACACATATATATATATATATATATATATATATATATATCATAAATATATATATGTAATATTATGCTTATTTTATATATGTGCATTAATATTACATATATATTTGTTGATATACACTATATATATATAACAAATATAAATCTAATATTATTTGTTGATATAGACTATATATATATATATATATCAAAAAAAATATATATAATATTATGCTTATTTTATATATGTGCATTAATATTACATATATATTTGTTGATATATATATATATATATTTTATATATGTGCATTAATATTACATATATATTTGTTAATATAGACTATATATATATCAACAAATATAAATGTAATATTATATTTGTTGATATAGACTATATATATATATATATCAACAAATATATATATATATTATATTTTATATATATGTATTAATATTACATATATATTTGTTAATATAGACTATATATATATTTATATATATCAACAAATATATATATAATATTATGCTTATTTTATATATATATGTATTAATATACATATATATTTGTTGATATAGACTATATATATTTTATATATGTGCATTAATATTACATATATATTTGTTGATATAGACTATATATATATATCAACAAATATAAATGTAATATTATTTGTTGATATAGACTATATATATATATATATATATATATATATATATATATATATATATATATATATATAATAATAAATAATAAATCAAAAAAAAACCTTAAAGATCCATCTCGAAATAATTTATTTCGTGTATATTGCTATATTCATCTCTTCAGACCGGAAGTTCTTAATAAATGGAGCAAAATAAAGCTTCCTGAAGAGATAAATATAGCAATATTCACGAAATAAATTATTACCGAATTGGATTTTTAAGATTTTTTTATTGATTCTTATTATAATGCTCTGTAATTTACATTGAGTTCTTTTGGATTAATGTCCTCCTTGGAAATATCCTTACCAGTCACTAATTTGTATTATATATATATATATATATATATATATATATATATATATATATATATACGATAGGATCAATATGAAAGGGATTAATTCGTTTCATGGCACCTGAAGATTGCTTATTTAAACTTTTGAAACAGTGCTTTGGACACAAGTTCATACACAAAACCAAGGAATCATCAATGAAAGCATTATTTAAGTCCGACACCAAATACGATAAACGCAATACTAAACTGATAAAATATTGACTAAAACTTAATTTAAGTTTTACCTGTACGGAGGAGATTTGATGCGTAAGTGGAAGTTGATGAAGAAGTGAAATGGGGGGATATAATTATTGTTTGGAGGAGAAGACCCCTTCCATAAAAAAAAAATCAGGTCTTTCTGTGTTTTTTTCTCTTTCGTCACCAGTGAGTTTTTTTTTTTATTTGGAAAGTTTGTTCGTAAACCGATTTGTTCATGATCCGAGGTTCGACTGTATATGTGTGTGTATGTGTATAAGTGTTTGTGTGTGTTTGTTTACACATATATATTGAATGCACAATAACAAAAAAATAATATACTACATAAAATATATATATAAAAAAAAGAAAAACAACTGCAGATATTAGAAGCGTTAAATATAAAATCAAACCGCCTGGCATCAAAAACTGTTATCAAAGTTAGTGTTGTGGCTTTGTTTGGACCAGAAATAAAGACATAAGAGAGGAATTGAGTTAAACAAATATATTAACAGAAACAATAATACAAACATATACAACGAGTGTTACAGCAAAAATATTCGGTCCGTCTGTCAGAGCTGACTGCTGGAAATTTTACCTTGCAAAAAGCAGTACCTGCTCCTATTTATAGCAGGGAGAGTCCATGCGTTCGTGGGTAAATTACCATAATAGTTACGAAGGAACCTATTAAATGTATTTAATGAAAAAAAAAACACGCAGCATTCTAAAAACCGATATGACTCAGCGAAGACAGGATATTTGAAAACGACGAAACTGACAAAAGCCGAAGCTACACAGACAATAGAAGATTTATCTTTAAACTTTCACTGGGAACCTGTAAAATGGTCCGAAATACACAAAGCCTAACAAAAACTTTTGTTGGTCATAAAACAAACTTATATATACATACATACATACACAAATATATTTACCGCTTTTAATAACGTCTCAAAATTGCTAAAAACTCAGCACTTGTATCTACCATTATGACATCAGAGCCAAAAAGCACAGGTGAAAAGTATTGATAATGATACGAGATATATACTATTTACATTGTTCGACATCATCTTTAATGTTCTATTCACGACGTTTCGACCACTTGTACGCTCCTGTCTTCTTCAGGTGATATACGATGGAATTTCGAACCGAATCCTTTATTTAGTCCAACGGGGGTAGATTGTTCTAATTGTCTCAGTTTTGAGTTAATTCCCTTTAGTAACTCTCTAAGGTTTGTTTCTCCACTTTTTGTTCAGATATTGAACTCACAACTCTTTTGGATTATTTCAACTAAATCTTTTATCCACTGGGTCATTCATCAGTAAATGAATTTTGGAGACTTATAAACCTAATGACTCAGTCACCTCCAAAATTCACTCACTGACGTCCCCAAGTGGATAAAAGCATTGGTTGAAGTAAACCCAAAGTGATTTGACCAAAGAGAGTTGTGAGTTGTGACGCCATTCTCCTAGAATGGGTTTAAGTTTGTAAAGTTTGTTGTTTGGGAAATAGTTCCATAACTTTTGCTACTTGTTTAGAATGTATTAATTTATAGTTGCTTTGAAGTCAGTATAAGGGAATTTCAAATTTGAAATGTTCATTTTTAATGATTCCTTTGCTGACGTCATTTTTTTTTTTTTTTTTTCGTGGATGCTAAGTTCCCAAACAAAAGACAAATATTTTTTTTTCTTGACGCTGAGTTTCATCCGATTTAGTAATCTAAAGAGGGTCTGGATGCAGCTGGGTTCCCTTGATTTATAGTTGCTTTGAACAAAAAAAACAAGGAGAACTGATATACAAGAGTTCAACATATTATCTAATATTTTAATATTACGTTGCTGAGACGACCACCTCCACGAAGAAAACATGCACGAGATCGCTCTCTTATTTCAAACACAGTTGACATCGCCTGTCTCACCGAAGATTGTAACAGCACGATGCAGGATCACCTTTCTCATGGGCATGTCGATTTCCAAAAAATGCTATCGGAATTACCTTTGGGGGTGCAAAGATGAATCTTTGGCTGGTGAAGTATGCTTCCACAACGTATGCAATTTCTTTTGGAGTCTACCTCCATTATAAAGGTCCGTCCACCGTCAGCAAGAGAGATATCGGATATATATATATATACATATACATATATATATATATATATATATATATATATATATATATATATATATATATAGGAAATAGTAAAATCTTAAATAATATGTTGAATTCTTGTATGTAATAAATATATTTGGTACTCATTGTCAATTTTTACAATCTAAGATACTTGCATTTAAAATGTTTCCCAACATTATGAGATACCCAATTTAGTATAAACACACCCACAGACATCCACCACACACACACACATGTATAACAACTAAAAATATATCTATAAAAGGACAATATGAAAATAAGCAAAAGGAAAACTTATCTAAGCCGACATGTTCTGTCCTCTTACATTTGATTTGATAAAGCCCGTCAGATTTAAGAAACAACAGATATTTTTAAAAAGCGGATTGAAAAAGACTCAGAGCAAATTGAAAAAAATGAAAATACCACTTAAAACCGCAACCCCTGAAAACTGGAAATTTTACCAAGAAACTTTGAAATCGGGATAAAATTGATATTTAAAAGTTAAGTAATCTTTTTATATAATGTTATATATATATATATATATATATATATATATATTATGAAATGGACTAAGTCCGACAATAATTTTCATATATTCACTGTTTATGTTATTTTTATACATACAAATATTTAAGTAAATGCTCCGTTTATAATAAACGTATAAACAGAAAATATATTAAAATAATTGTCGGACTTGGTCCATTTCATAATATATGATGTCATTTGTTTACGTTAAGATACGCTTGCAGCAGATATGAGCGTTCGAGAGAAATCATAGGGAATTTGTGGTTTAAAAACAGTAATTTAACCTTGCTAATCAGACACTTCCTCTGTAGTTAAATAGTATAGCACGTCAGGCTTTATGACGGTTCTGTGTAGGATACAGGCTCGATTCCTGTCGGAGAACACATATTTTCTATGAAATTTCTCTGACATATATATATATATATATATATAGTTTTATTGATTATTTTTTTTAATAGATATTAATAAAACATTTCTTACATATATCTTTCCACTTCCGAGAATGTTGATTTCAGTCATCTACCTCCAACATCTGTCCTTCTTTACGGCAGCGAATGTTGGACAATTTCCTCAAAGATGAAGAAGAGACTCGAGGCGACGAAGACGTGGTTCTACAGAAGGATACTAAGGATATCATGAACTGAGCGTATGAGCAGCGATGAGGTCTTAGAGAGGTTGCAAACAAGGAGGAGGCTTATACTTAACATCGGGAAGAGGCAGCTGAGGTTTCCGGGCTCACATAATGAGAAGGGAGGGCCTGGAAAATCTGATACTCACGGGTCGAATAGAGGGAAAGAGAGACAGGAGAAAAAAACGCACGACATATCTAGCGGACTTAATCAAGTGGATGACAGAACGTGGTCTGGGGGTGGGAGCAGAGGGAAGGAATTTGTTGAGAGCTGCAAGGGATACGGGGAGGTGGAGAGCCATGATTGGCTACGTCCTGAAAAGAAGAGGCAGCAGAAGTTTCTGGGACACATAATGAGGAAGGAGGGTTTGGAGAATCTGATACTCACGGGTCGAATAGAGGGAAAGACAGACAAGGGAAAACAACGAGTGACATACCTGGCGGACTTAATCAAGTGGATGACAGAACCTGGTTTGGAGGTGGGTGTGGCAAAAGGAAGGAACTTGTTGATAGCTGCAAGGGATAGGGGGAAGGGGAGAGCTATGATCGCTTACGTCCTGAAAGGACACGGCATATAGAAAGAAAAGACCTCCAACACAAGTTAATAAAGGAAAGTGTTAAAGGACTAATCGTCAATGATGATATAATGTTTTTAGAAAAACCCAGCCTGTTCTGTTATTTATCCATAGCAGAGCGGAGGGATATTTTAAACTTTTTAGATGCTTGTATTGTATAGCCTCTTCTCTTCTAGGGAGGTCTTGGGGCGACGGTCTTGTGGCGATTATAATAAAGTTGTCGTCTTCTCTTTCTGCTCTCGGCTGGGTAATCGCTAGTTTTTGGATTCGAAGATGAAATGAGAACTTCAACAAAAGTGATTTTATTAACACGTCAACGTGTACATATTTAACTAGCCATCGGGGTTGCACTATCACTCCCACTCGGGAGCAAGTCCCCCGCACACGAAATTAACGCGTCTGCATTCTTCGACGCGTAAAACTTAACTCTTGAAAATACTTTCTAACTCTAACATTCCTACATCCGCGTAAGCCAATCAAAATCGAGATTCCTATTTTGTCTATATATATTATACTCCATATATATATATATATATATATATATATATATATATATATATATATATATATATCCCACGTAAAATGAGAACAAATGGAGTATAATTTCACTGTCCGTAACATTTAATTTAAAAAAGAAGGCTCAATACAGAGTAGAACTAAATATTATCTATTTTAGGATATTAAAACAAGAACGTGTTAAAAGTCGCTACACAATGGCAATTATGTTTCAACACTACAAATGTGTCTCCTCGGGCGATGGTAAACTACTGGCAAGTACTTTAACGGACAAGGAAAATTTATCAACTCATAATCTACAAGAGCCCGTAAGAAAGATATTAGTCGATAACACTAGAGTCCTTTGTAAATCAAATTCCAGAAAATATCTTGTTATAAGAGAGCCTTTTGTACATCAAACGCTCTCCTCCACCAACAACCTTATCTTGTTTAACAATGGTAACGAAGTGCTGAAAGTCTTTTAAAAATAAAACTCACCCACTCGAATTCTAACCATGCCCAACACACGATGGCTTGAAATAATATAATTTACAAATAATACAACTCACAGTGTTAAAACATGGAAATAAACTAACTACACCAAAAACACCAACCATGAATATGACTAAAGAAGTAGCCGAAATCTCTTGGGACAATCGACGATATGGACAGTTTTTATATTCGCTCACTCCCACTAAGCGGAAAAATGTAAGAACGCTGCGAAAACTAAATAAAAAATTAATAAAATTTTCCTTGTCCGTCATAGATAACGAAAGATATTTTAGAAGAAATGTTGCTGCCCAAAGATACAATATATATATATATATATATATATATATATATATATAATGTGTGTGTAAAAGCCATATTATTTTACGTGATTCTGGGTACGTTGGCAAGCAGAAGAAACGCTTGCCAACAGAAAACTGTTGTGCGTCCAGCACTGAACGAAGTTTTATTAATTACTGCACGAGTCTCTTGGGGAAGGAAAATAGTTAAATTCGAATCACTGGAAAAGGAACGAAATGCGGCGTAGCTGTAGTGGTATTAGATGTATAGACAAGGGAAGAACAGATATAAAAAACAAAAAAAGTAAAAACAAACCGTTAGAAAAAGATAGGAAATAAAAATATATCTAACCGTAGGCTAAAGTGTGGGCTGGGTTTTTCATTAATATTTTTATTCGTTTTTTTTTTTTTGTTTGTTGCTTGTGTTTTTTTTTCTTTTTTTCTTTTTTTGTTTTTTTTTTAATTACCACTCACTTCGTTGTCTTTTCTTTCTGGTGTCTTTTCTTTCTTTTTCTTATCTTTCTTTTGACTGAAAAAAATTTCTTACCTTATTCTTCATCTTCTTATTACCCCACTCTTACCTTATTCTTTTGATTCGTACTGATCTTGATGTGATTTTTGTTCCACAAGTACAGTTACTTATTTGCTTTTGCTTCACTTTCTCTACTTCTTATCCTTCATGTCTTCTTCTAACCCCCTCCTCTTCCTCCTTCTCTTCTCAAGTACTCCTCTTGTTTTTACACTCTTTTTCTTATCCTTTTTTCTCCTCTTCGTCTTTTTTACGTTATTTTTCGTCTTCGCTGCTATCTTTTTATTCTTGAACTTTCCTTTCTTCCTTTCTTTTCTTTATTGGGTTATTCTAATCGTAAGCTTTCTTTTCCATTTTCTTTCTCGTATCGTTTATCAACTTCCATTCATTCATCATTTTCTTCTTGCTTTTTCCTATAAGACTTTTTCATCTTCTTTTCTCACACTAGCTATTCTTTATCCTTCGTTTCTTTCTTTCTTTCTTTCTTTCTTTCTTTCTTTGTTCAAGGCAATTTTTTACTCATTTCTACCCATTATTTTATTCATTCTTTCTTTCTTTCTTTTTTCTTTCTTTCTTTCTTTTCTTGTTTTATATTTTTCTTCGTCTTGTTTTCATCTCCACTGATTATTTGTAATCTCTTTTCTTTCTTTCTTTCTTTCTTTCTTTCTTTCTTTTGTTTTCCCTCATCTCTACTCATTATTTTTATTCTCTTTCTTTCTTTCTTTCTTTCTTTTTCCTCGTTTATCTTTTTCATCGTCTTGCTTTCATCTCCACTCATTATTTGTATTCTCTTTCTTTCTTTTTCTTTTTCTTTCTTTCTTTCTTTCTTTCTTTCTTTCTTTCTTTTTTATCTTTTTCATCGTCTTGCTTTCATCTCCACATATTATTTGTATTTTCTTTTTCTTTCTTTCTTTCTTTCTTTCTTTCTTGTTTATCTTTTCATCGTCTTGCTTTCATCTCCACACATTATTTGTATTTTCTTTTTCTTTCTTTCTTTCTTTCTTTTCTTTCTTTCTTTCTTTTTCTTTTCATTCTTGCTTTCATCTCCACACATTATTTGTATTTTCTTTTTCTTTCTTTCTTTCTTTCTTTCTTTCTTTCTTTCCCCTGTTTTATCTTTATTCTTCATTTCTCTACTCATTATTTTTATTCTCTTACTTTCTTTTCTTTCTTTTGTTTTCCTCCTCTGCTGCCGAGAGACTCATCGGATTTTGTTTTTCTTACTTTATGTTCAGCTCGTGAGCCGATAGCATCTGCATAACAGATAGGAAATCATTTTTGAATTCCTTCCCTTTCGTTCTTTTTCCTTTCTTATCTCCTCCCCTTTTCTGTATCGTCTGTCCTCCGCTCGTTCCGTAATATTAAATTAAAAAGAACAAGCACCAAAACAATGTCACAAGAACCAAACGAATTCAATTATTATAAAACAAATCAAACACAGAGAAATTATGTGCAACTTCCCTGGGCGGCTAGCCAATCCCCGTTGCAGACGCCTGCTCAGGTACATATGTGTTTGGTCAAAACCCACAGAGCTCATTTTACCGAATAAATATTTATTTTTCAACATAAACTTCCCCTTTGTTAATGATCTTAATTCCGTAGTGAATTATATATATATATATATATATATATATATATATATATATGGTAATGGTAAATTCGGCAACTATGCTGAGAGGACCTTAGTTACAGTTTCTGTTAGAGCGCTATCTGGCGTCATCAACAGTCTGAACAAGGCCAGCACAATCAACCCTCGGTCATGATGACTTGTGATTTCGTGCCAGCACAAACCATCGACAACTCCCAAAGACTCCCGTCTACTCAATTTCACTCAGAAGGCTTGAGTCAACCCTTGGTATGGTTTTCAGACACTTTCCACCTAGCCATGGCGCAAGATGCGCTGGTTGCCCAGTAATCATCTGCACTGACGCAGAATGACCCTAATGACCTTCCGACCTTGATGCAGGACCGTGATGGCTAGCGTGATAGACTCATGAATGCCCGAGCTAGCTCGACTAAATATAATAATACATATATAATGTTCGTATATATATATATATATATATATATTAAGACGTTTTTTTATGTTTATACTTTCTTTTTATAGATACAAATATTTAAGTAAATGCTCTGTTTATAATAAACAGTATTAAACAACTGTTGGGGCGCACCCACCTTCTCATCAGAATGGACTGATCTCTCTACTACTAATAGGACAGTTCTATAGAGTTCTAAAAGATCAGGTGACCATCACACTTCCGTCTCTCTACCGGAAGATACAGTTGGACTTTATACTCTTTCTGATTGTTACTGACTAACCTGCGTTCGTTTGACTACTAATCTCTCTGTTGTAAATACCTCTTCAGATATACCAGTATTTTTCCCTATGTATGTGTTTGTCCTTATTTCAATACACGCACAGGGAAACACTCAACAACAACATTTACCGACCTGAATGTTCGAGAAATTTTCATAGAAAATACGTGTCCTCCGACAGGAATCGAACCTGTATCCTATACGGAACCGTCATATAGCCTGACGTGCTTTTACTGATTTCGCCACAGAGGATCGTTTCGGTTAGCAAGGTCGATTTTACTGTTTTTAAACCACAATTCTCCATGATTTTCTCTCATACATTCATTTCTGCTCAATGCGTATCCAAATGTAAACAAATGACGTCACACATTATGAAATGGACAAAGTCCGACAATTATTTTAAGACATGGTTCGATTCCTGTCGGAAGACGCATATTTTCTATGAAATTTTCTCGGACATTCAGGCGGGTAAATGTTGTTAATACTGTTTATTATAAACAGAGCATTTACTTAAATAATTGTATCTCTAAAAAGAACGTATAAACATAAAAAATGTCTTAAAATAATTGTCGGACTTTGTCTATTTAATATATATATATATATATATATATATATATATATGTATACACCACCACATCCATCACGGTCTTGTATTAGGGTGGCATTCTGTGTCAATGTAGGTGGTTGCTTTTACCTAGCCCATTTTCCTCTATGACTATGTATCCAGAACAGTACATCGCTCGCAAGTTCTTGTTTTGCTCGCCAGCACTATCCTGCAAAGCACATTCTGTATTCGCGTAAGATATATCAGGCATTGATCCGTAGATCTGTGATTTACTTGGATATTGTCTCCAAGATATGTTAAGAATCTCCGTTTAAGATACAAAAAAAAAATCTACATTAATTTCAACCTTTAATGTTCGCACGCTTAACACTATAGACAGCTGTCTGAACTTGTCTTTGCCATTGAACTGAATATCAATGTCATCCGTATATATATATATATATATATATATATATATATATATATATATATATATATATTTCTATATTGTTAATATTGAACAATTAACAGAACAATTACTTACATATTTGTATCTATAAAAATAACGTATAAGCAAAAGGTATATTAAAATAATTGTCGCTCCATTTCATAATATATTACGTCATTTGTTTGCGATAAGATACGCTTCGAGCAGATATGAGCGTCCGAGAAAATCATCGAAAGTTTGTAGTTCAAAAACAGTAATTTAATATATATATATATATATATATATATATATATATATATATATATATATATATTTGGTTGGATTGATGTGAGTTCTCTATCACGCCTCTTTACTCTTGTTCCCACTCTCTCTTGCTTGGGTGAAATGCTTAATATATATATATATATATATATATATATATATATATATATATATATATATATAATATTATGGTCTATATATATATATATATATATATATATATATATATATATATATTTATATAAACTTCCCAAGAGGAATGTCCTGGATAGAGTAAGAATATAATATAAAAGGCTCACACTACTATCCGATGGTTTATCAATAATTTATTACATTGGAATCGGTAGTGTTTGAGCCTTTTATATATATATATATATATATATATATATATATATATATATATATATATATATATATATATAATATAATCCGACAGTATGATATACAGAAAAAATCAACAAAAATCTTAATATGCCGGACGTTTCGGTCTATTTCTATGTGTAATGAAAATGTCCTGAAGATGGTCTAAAATAGACCGAAACGTCCGACGTTGACTTTATATTAAATTAATACAGTATAATTGCATATTAAGATTTTTGTTGGTTTTTTTCTATATATTTTCTTCATATATATATATATTGGTTCTCCATAAAGTCTCTTTACAATTAAAAAAAAATTACAAAATCAAATGAACGGATAAATATTTGGAAATTGTTGCAAAATGAGGAGTAAATATTGAATTTTTTTTAACTAATTTAATGCACCTCTATATGAACGCCATTAGTTGCATGAAGACGTTACTCGATTTCTTGACATGTTCTATTTCATCAATGGTGGCAATAGCAAAATCTTTGCTTTAGATCAGCGATGTCCTGTATCTTTATTTGATGCACGATATCTTTAACATAACCCCATAGAATGAAGTCCCGGGGAATGATATCTAATGAATGAAGTGGCCAGGGAATTGGGCCATCCCTTCCAATCCACTGGAAATGTTAGAGGATTCATTTAGCAGTACCTCTTTCATCAACAGGATACCTGAAATACACAAATGCAATATGATTAAAAACTTTGATAACTACTGAGTACATAGAACAAATCTGATTAAGATATCTCATCAATTGCCTTTGTAATATATTTTTTTTTAATTTGAAAGAGACTTTATGGATACCTTGTTAATCTAGTTGCATAAATATTACTTATCTGCTAGAGAATTTTATTATATTAAAATGAAAGTAACACCGAGAAACATAATCTGAGATAATCAACCTTTGATCCGAGATAGTTCAATAACTTCTGTACATTGATTTGATTTTGACATTTCCAATTCATAGCTCACATTTTAGGCTTTTTCCTCCTGTTGGAAACAATTCTTCTGCTTTTTCACAATTGGTTTAGATTTATTCCGTGAATAGCATGCATCTCATTGCAATTTATAAAAGTCTTGAGAGAATAGGTTGTTTTTTTCGTTTAGTGAATTGTATTGTTGCGCATGCGTCGGTTTTCGGTTGAATTTTGATAAAACAATACTCCAGCCTAACTGGGTCTTTTCTTTAAAACCTACTGAAACGGACTGGGTTGCGTATTTCCCTCAGATCTGTGATTAAAATGAAATCTTGAGCTAATACAATCGTCTTTATATGTGGTCCTGATTAGACTTTTAGCAAAGGTTAATAAATATCCAGATTATAACTTTTGTAAATAGAGGGTTTTTTTTTCAATTTTTATCAAGAATTCCAGTTTTATCAGATTTCTTTTCTATGTCGTAAAAACTATCAGCTGGTCATTTGTTTCTATAACAATGATTCATCTTCAAATTAATGCTTGAATGAATTTTGGAATTTGGAAGAAGGCTTGTTAAGCGATGATGTTTTCACTCACATTTTAACGTTTTGTTTTAGCATGCGGATATCTAGTGACGTGGAGACTTGCTCAGCATCGCCTTCACTCACTTTTCAATATTTCTTGTTGTCATGTGGATAAAAAAACAAGTAGCCATGATATCTAGTGATGAGGATACCATCTCAGCGTTAGAATGTAAATAAAACAATGGCTATTATATCTAGCGATGAGGAGACTTGCTCAGCATCGCCTTCACTCACTTTTCAATATTTCCTGTTGTCATGTGGATAAAAAACAAGTAGCCATGATATCTAGCGATGAGGATACCATCTCAGCGTTACAATGTAAATAAAACAATGGCTATTATATCTAGCGATGAGGAGACTTGCTCAGCATCGCCTTCACTCTCTTTTCAATATTTCTTGTTGTCATGTGGATAAAAAACAAGTAACCATGATATCTAGTGATGAGGATACCATCTCAGCGTTACAATGTAAATAAAACAGTGGCTATTATATTTCGCGATGAGGAGACTTGCTCAGCATCGCCTTCACTCAATTTTGGTTTGGTGTGGTTTATTTTGTTTTCCGGCATATCAACCTGAATGGATTATTTAATGCCGACGAGATTTCTAGGATAGGTTCATATGAATAGAATGCATTCTTTGTAAGAAATCAGTTTGTAGATCAGTATTTTTTAAATGAGGGTTTTTGCTGCGAATCAACTACTTTGATGGTAATTTTCTGTTTTTCCAAAAATGTATTGCTGGTATTTTTACTATAAAAATATATTTGTATATTTTCATAACGATTTGAATTTGTTTGGGGATTCCCTATTTG